TGCTTGGTCAAACGGGCTCACATTTAGGATGGTTGCAACGTCCCAGGATTATTGCGATGGCCTTTTGCTGAACCAGCGAAGTCGCTGGGGAAGACGGAGGGCCGAGGTCACCACTGCAGCGATTCTGTTGAACACAATTGTGCCCAGAAAGGGAAGCCGAACCTCCCTTAAACCATGGCCTTGCTTAGCAACGGAGACCTGTGGCCATAACACGACGGCTCCCTGTTATAGCCCCGGGCCCAAAGCCAGGGAATGCTTTGCAAACACAAATCTTACATTCTTCCAGGATTCACTTTCTCAGCATCACTCCCGTCTCTTTTTTTCTCCTTGGATGTGTACAGTATACAGTTTGCGAAAGGTCTCTTTTCCGGGTTCGAACCCCCCTCCCTCTCTCGCTGAGTTATTTACGATCTCCCCTTATTGGGGAAAAAAAGTACGACTCTCGATTGCAAAACCGCCCACTCATTTTTTTCCCCCCTCTTTTCGTCTTCTCCCCCTTCTCTCTCTTCTGGCAGTTCTCTGGCTGCCGGCTACAGCGTTTGCCGCCCCCACACGCTGCAGCAGAAGGTTGCTTGGACGACTTACAGAGCCTGAATTACAAAGCGCAGGCTCTCTCTCTCTCTCTCTCTCTCTCTGTGTGTGTGTGTGTATGTGTGTGTGTCTATACGCAACTCCGAGCTGCTAAATTTAGCCGGCCCATTGCTGTTTTTAGCTCCTTGATTCAGAACCCAAATTAGCAGAAAAGAGGTGAAGGGGAGACAGAAAGCTGCAGTCAACTTTGGCAAAGGGAGAGGGTGGATTTGAAGAAGGGAAAAGGGGAGAAATTGGGGACCAGGAAAACAAACCCTTCTGCAGACACCAGTTTGCCCCCTCCCCAAATGTTTCTCTCTCTCTCTCTCCCCTCCCTCCCCTTTCTAAACCCTTCTTCCCCCTCCTCACCCAAGCCCACCAAGTATTGCCACAATGGCAGTGATTCACAGTCACAATGCGAAAATGATTCATTCCGTTCCAGTCAACGCTCAGCTGGGAGTTGACCTGCCTTTCATTCTGCCACCTTCAGTCTAGAGCTGGAAGGGGCCCTGGAGGTCTTCTAGCCTAACCCCCCCTGTTCCCACAAAGTCTCTCCTTTCTTGACCCCCCATATACTTGGGCTACTTTCACCTACCCCATCCTAAACCCAGGTTCACGAAAGCCGATGAGCTGCATTCCTGGTCACCGTGCTTTATCCAACCCAACAGTGGGTAGTTCTCGACTTATGACCACAACTGGGCCCCCAATTTCGGGGGCTAAGCGGTTGTGACGTTTTTGCCCCACCGTCCTACCTTCCTGCCCACCGGCGTTCAGCAAATCACTGCAGTGGTGACCTGGTCGTTAAGTGAATCTGGCTCGCCCTTTCTGTGGTTCATCAAAGAGGATCACATGATCCCAAGGACATTGCAACTGTCATATTTATGAATCGGTGGCCGAGTGGCCTAATTTTGATCATGTGACCCCAGGGATGCTGCATGGTTTGTGTGAAAAATGGCCCTAAGTCGCTTTTTCAGTGCTGCTGTAACTTTGAATCGGTCACTAAATGGGTGATTGTAGAGTCAATGGGGAGGCCCAGTTCACTTAGCAACCGTGTCACATTGAACCGCGAGGAATCCCTTAAACACTGTGGCAAGAGGGGTCGTAAAATGGAGGCCAAACTCATTTCGCAAATGTCTCCCTGAACCATGGAAATGTTGGGCCTCAATTGTGGTCGTAAGTCAAGGACAACCTGTAACAAGAGAAAAATCAAAGTGTCAAAGCAAGTTTAATTCCTCTTCTCATCCCAGATAAAGTCCAGGTAGTTTGATTGGCAGTTGTGTAGATGTGATAGGCCACTGACTATTCCCACCATGGTTTGTTTGTTTTTAACTTCTCAGTCCAGCCTGTAACTCCCGAGATCTCCTGGTGGCCTTCCATCCATGTCCTAAGCAGGCCTTGGCCTGTTTAAGCTTGCAGCCCCAGGCAATGTCAGCCAAATGCTGCCACCTGCTGGTGCTTTCAAGAACCTTTCGTAGGATCCTACAAATCAAATGTGGCTCCTGATAACTTCATGGCTACTATGTCCATGCGATTTTCTTGGCGAGGTTGAAGTAGTGATACCCTGCCCTGCCCCCTTGCAACATCCTTGACCTTCCATGTGGTCTCCACATCAAATCCTAATCAAGTCTGACCTGGCTAGAGACCAGCCCAAATTGGCAAGGCCTTGCATGGCTTGACAATGTTTTGACAATCTCCCCACGAGTTGTTTCTTTTTCTTTTTTGCAAAAGCCCAAGGTTTTCATTCCAAAGAACAGAGAACACGAACATAGAACGTGGAATCTTGCAGGGATTCCTAGGCTGTAAAATCCACCTGCCCTGGTCCTCCAACTGAATCTGCAGCTTGGAATTTGCAAATTTTGCATCTGTTCCATTTCTTTGCATCTGAAGTGTTGTCGGCTCGTTTCTGGTTCTGCCCAGAAAGACAACACTAGAGTCAAAGGGAACTTTTTAGGAATTGCTGTTCCTGGATCAGTCGGTTGCATAAACAGTCTGTCTGCATTGCAGAAAAGTGATAATTGTATAACTGTCAAGTTCTTCTCCTTGGAAAATCAACACACATAACTAACTGGAGCTATTATGGCACTGGGTGATGGGAAGGGAAAGGAAAGGAAAGGAAGAAGGAAGGAAGGAAGGAAGGAAGGAAGGAAGGAAGGAAGGAAGGAAGGAAGGAAGGAGGAAGAAAAGGGGGAAGGCAGAGAAGGGAAGGAGAAGGGAGGGAAGGAAGGAAGGAAGAATGGAAGGAAGGAAAAAGAAGGAAGGGGGAAGGGAGGGATATAGGAAGGAAAGGGGGGAGGGGAGGGAAGAAAGAAAAGGAAGGGGAAGGGAGAGATGAAGGAAGGAAGGAAGGAAAAAATAAAAGGAGGGATATAGAAAGGAAAGGGATGATGGATGAAGAAAAGAGAAGGAGGGAAGGGAAGAAAGATGGAAGGGAGGGATGAAGGAAAAGGATGAAAAGAGGGAAGGAGGGGAGGGAAAGGAAGGAGTAATGGGGAGGAAGGAAGGAAGGAAGGAGGGAGGGAAGGAAGGAAGGAAGGAAGGAAGGAAGGAAGGAGAGAGAAAAGCGAAGACAATATTCCTTAAGACAGGATCCTGCATAGTTTTGCGGGACAGCTTCTAACTTCCCCTCTCCATCCCTCCATCTCTCCTTCTTTCTGGCAACTTCCAAAACAAGGGCAGGATCCTCCAAACCACAAAAAGAGCCAGTCCCCTCCCACCTCACCTCAGCTTTCACGCCTTATATGGAACGAGAGATTTGTGCAAAAGCCAAGCTAACTAATTTAGGTTATCTCTGCAAAGGAGAGGGGGGGGGGGGAAAGTAAAGAAAGAAAGAAAAACGAAGAAGAATAAGAATCACCCCAAATGGGAGACAGAATGCTGTCACTTTTCATGGTTGCTTAGCAACCGCAGAGCTCAAAAAGAACCTTTTCTTTCCTTTTTTTTGCAGGATCTATTTTTGGCCTTCACAGAAGAGAACGTTATTTAAGGCCTGGCTTGTTTATTTACTGGGAAGTTTAAAAGAAATCCAGAATAGTCTCACCCTTTCTGGTGGCTTTTTTGGGGGATGGGGGGTTGGGGGGAGGAGGGAAAATTCCTGGACAGAAATCCTAAGTAAAGATATGCTTAGAACACTTTATTTGACTAAATGGGAGAGAGAAATGTCAATCTGTTCAGAAAAGTTTTTAAAAATCAACAATAATAATTTTGGAAAAAAGAGAAAAGAACAGATTCAACCCCCCCCCCCCCCCGGAATGCTGCTAGTAAATATTTCTTTTTTTTAAGAGACTGCATCAAGAATAGCTTCTTTAAACTACAACCTTACAACCAGGGGAAAATAAACAATCACACATGCCCCCTTTATATAATAGATAGATAGACAGATAGATGAGAGAGAGAGAGAGATAGAGATTAGATAGATGGGTATAGAGATAGATAGATAGATAGATAGATAGATAGATAGATAGATAGATAGATAGATAGATAGATAGATAGAGGCATATAGATATAGATCAATCGATCGATAGAGATGAATAGAGAGAGATATAGACACACACACACACACACACACACCATTCTACGTGGATTTTTCACACGTTTCAGGCCTATAACTGCAATTTGGACATCCCCTTTCTCTCTAGTCTTGGGGCTTTTAAGAGCAATGGTGAAGAAATCTGGAATAAATCAGACCCATTTTACTTTGGGCCTGACAAAGATCGAGAAAAAGATTGTGAAGGAAAGAAAAAGGAAAAAGAGGAAAGAATAACACCAAAGCAAAAAGATTGGCTACGTAGCTTTTGAGTAAGAGACACGAAAGAGAAAAGGAAAGGAAAGGAAAGGAAAGGAAAGGAAAGGAAAGGAAGGAAGGAAGTAAGGGAGGAAGGAAGGAAAGGAAGGAAGGAAGGAAGGAAGGAAGGAAGGAAGGAAGGAAGGAAGGAAAGAAAAAGAGGATCTGAGAAAGAACAAGCCTTTGTTTTGGCAAGAAAGGAAAGAGAAGAAGGAAGAAGATGTTAGTGCCAGTACTAAATCTTTGGGACTGAGAGAGAGGGAAAGAGTCAGGCACGCAGAGATGTGATTCCAACACTCAAGGCTCGTTTTGTCTCCTAATTCGGTGCAGTGTTTCCTTCGTTTCCTCCTCCAGCCTCCCCCTCCTCTCACCACGTCATTCAGAAGCCAGTGACGTAGGGTTCCCCCAAGCCCATGGAAGCGGGTGGGGGAGCTGGGTCTGCAACCCTCTCCCTCCATTGATCTGAACAATTCTTCCCGCCCCGTTTTTCCTTAATATGCCAGTGCCCACACTTCCAACCGCCTATAAAAGATGGAAAGCAGGCTCTTCGACAGATCCACAGGCAGGCATCGGAGAGAGAGAAAGAGAGAGAGAGAGAGGGCGCAAAGACGGAAGCGGCTGAGCTGCACGGATCTTCTTCCCAGCCGAGATGTACCGGTCCACGAAAGGAGCCTCCAAGGCACGGCGGGATCAAATCAACGCGGAAATCAGACATCTCAAGGACCTGTTGCCGATTGCCGAAGGAGATAAACTTCGGCTCTCTTATCTGCACATCATGTCGCTGGCTTGCATCTATACTCGGAAGTCCATCTTCTTCTCCAAAGGTAGATTCAGAAGACCGCCGAAGGGCTCGGGGAAGGGGGAATCTAAGAGCCGGGGTGGGTGGGTTTACTTCTGAAGTTGGGTAAGGGGCTGCTTCCTTCCTGAAGTGCCTTTCCTTGGAAACTCAACAGGTCTCTCTCCATGGTGCTGAAACGGCCAAGGGGGGAGTGCACTGGGCTGCTATCCATGGTGCTGAAACAGCCACCTAAGACTTTCGTTGTAGGAACAGTTATCCGTGGTGCTGAAAACCCTTACAGTTCCTCTCCCTCGACTTATGAGATGCAAAGAGAGGGCATTTAAAAATAATAATAATAATAATAATAATATTAATGAAACCCCTGTCACTGTTTCTCAACAGGTGCGACTTTGGAAAGCTTGGAGAGCTTGCTTTCTTCCCAGGACTTAGATGATTTCATGCAGACCCTTCCCGGTTTCCTTTTGGCGTTCACGGGCGAAGGCAAACTCATCTATGTGTCGGAGAGCGTGGCCGAGCACTTGGGGCATTCTATGGTACGTACCAGCAGACTTGTGAAGAGGGGAGAGTGGTACCTTTACTGTAAAATAGGGGAAATGACAGCACTCCTCTGAATTATCCTGGGTTTAATAGCAGGCTAGCCTTTTGTTTCGCTGTATTACAAGAGCATTTCATTGAAGCCATAGCCTTTTGGTTTCTCCAAGGCTGGGGCTTATTAAATTAGACCTATGGTCTCTATAAGCAGTTTGTCCATAACATTGATAGCTCTTAAGAGATTATTTTCTCAGTGGGAGTAAATGCATTTATGAAAGTCGGTTGACTTTGGAGATCCTATGTGAAGCTAAGATTTCTGATGACTCCATGACTAAGAGAAGAGTTCAATTTCACAACTGTTTGTCCTCTTCCTTATGCCTGCAGGTGGATTTAGTGGCCCAAGGAGACAGCATCTACGACATTATTGATCCGGCAGATCATTTAGTGATGAAGACTCAATTGGCATTGCCTTCTCCATTAAATACCGGTAGGTGTTCCTTTGTGGGAATGAGTGTTGTGCAGGAGAGAAGGGAAGCAGTAGACATTGTGGTTGGGAAAGGAATTTAAATTAGCGTGGTTGACTATTTAAAAGTTGACAGGTGGCATGTTAGAACAGAACGATGCCTTGCCGAGCTTAATTCGAGGGAGAAGCTATGAAAGCTCAGCTTTTACCAGAAAAAAACTCACATTTGGGAGCCGATAACATTATGAATGTGATGGAGTATGGAGAAAAAGCAGCATGGCATTTTCTGGAGAACAACAAGCCTTAAGGCCACTGCTTGTCAACCATAGTTGCTTCCCAGGTCCACAAATCTTCAAGTGGCCAAGATTGAAAATGTCATTCTAGCATGGAGTTTTCCAATCAGAGGAAATTAACTCCATTCTTGTAAACTGTGATTAAGAAATTTATTTAGAAATACATTTCAAGCAGAAAAAATAATACGATTTGCCAAGTCTAGGAGAGTGGAACAGATCCATGCTTTCTGCTAGAGTGTCAACTCATAAAACGTTTCTATGCCCGTTTTACAGTTGCCAACAGAAAGGTGGGGGGGCAGGAATTTGAAAAAGCTGGGAAGCAGTTTGGAATCAAAAGTGCATTCCATTCATAACTTGCAGAGATTGTAACTAGGCAACCGGAGTTTCTTCCAAGCAAATCTCTAATTGGAGAACATGATTGATGACTCTTGGCTATGGATGTGTTTTGTTGGAGAATATGAATTATGCACTCAAAGGGGTGGGTGGGGGGAACCAGGGTCAAGGATGACAGTGAATTATGTGTCTCAGAATTGGCTTCCAACAGGTCCTGCCGACAGGATCTAATAAATTCATTATAGGTTTTGAAGTTTGGCTCGAGGCTCATGATTTAATTAGGGCAACTGCCGGAATCCTGACAGCAAGCCGACATAGAGATAGGCTCAGCAAGATGATCGTTTTGAGTATGCTTCAACGTATTATGTCTTTTCGGGTTTCTCAATCTTCTTCTTCTTTTTCTTCTGTCCCTCAAACCAAAACAGAACGTCTCTTCCGTTGTCACTTCAACACTTCCAAGACAATCCGGCGTCAAAGTGCAGGAAACAAGCTGGTTCTGATTCGCGGTCACTTCCACCAACCTCCTCCGGGTTCTTATTGGTCCACCAATCCTGTCTTCACGGCCTTCTGCACCCCTCTAGACCCTAAGCCCAGAATGGGTCAAAATTCGTTCTTCCTGTCTGCTTTTGAGAGTCGCCACACAAAAGACCTGGTCATTGTGGATATCTCTGAAAGGTGAGAGGCCTTATGGAAAAGTTGAAAGGTTAGGATTAATTTAGGATTAGGATTAGGTTAGGATTAACTTCTCCAAATTTGGCAACTTTAAGACTGGTGGACTTCAACTCCCAGAATATCTCAGCCAGCATCTGGCAACTTTTAAGGCTGGTGGACTTCAACTCCCAGAATTCCCCATAGTCAGCCATGATGGCTGGGGAATTCTGGGAGTTGAAGTCCACAAATCGTAACGTTAGAGACCCCTGGACCGACAAGAACATAAGGAAAGACCAAGAAGGAATTTGATGGACTTCTTAAGAAAGGAGCCTCTTCTATCCACCAGAGGGAAAAATGGCACCGTATAATAACCAGAGTGGATGCAAACAAGCACGCCTAAAAAAATCTGCTGTATTATTTTTCCCAACTATTTCTTATTCAGTTTAAAAAAGAATTGTCATTCTTCTCAGATGGGACTTTTTCAGAGCGGGAAGTGTAAGAATTCAGGGAGGCCCCACAAAGTTGAGACTTCTCTTCTGACCAGTGTTTGACGATAGGTGGAACTGAGTTGTGGGCTGGGGGATTCTGGGAGTTGACATTCAAGCAGCCAAGTCTAGAAGATTAAACTGGTTCAAAACTCAAAACAAATCAGCAAGGAAGACTTCAATGTCTTGGGAGCAAAATCGAAAATGTTGGTAGAGGAAGGAACTCCAATACCATGCTTGCTGCAAAGCCCTGATCTCTATTTTATCTTCATTTTCTAGCGTGATCTTCCATCTGGGCTTTGAGAAAAGCGAACTCTTCTGTAAATCGTGGTACGGTTTGATCCATCCTGAAGATCTCAGCCACGCTTCAGCCCAGCATTACCGACTGTGTGAGTTTCTTACCCTTCTCCTTTCATCCAATCCCTTTGGGGCAACCACAGCAGATGGGCGAAGCGGTTTGAGGTGACCAGATCTCTCATTTCCTTTTTCCTTTACTTGTTACTCCAGTGGGTGACCAAAGCAACACACAAACCGAAATGGTGATCCGGCTCCAAGCGAAAGATGGCATAAGCTGGATATGGATCTACTCACTGCTTCGCTTGGAGAACGTGGAGATCCCCATCGTTTCTCACAACTACGTCATCAGGTAACCGTTGTGAACTCTTTCTGGGCTTGAGATATGGACTGGTTCTTTATAAGTGTGAGGTGGAAGACAGGGATTGGCCCAGAGTTCACCCAGCAGGCTTTCATGCCTAAGTCAGGAGTAGAACTCACAATCTCCTGGTGATTGGCCCAAAGTCACCCAGTTGGCTTTCCTGCCTAAAGTGGGACTAGAATTCACCGTCTCCTGGTGATTGGCCCAAAGTCACCCAGTTGGCTTTCCTGCCTAAAGTAGGACTAGAACTCACTGTCTCCTGGTGATTGGCCCAAAGTCACCCAG